CCCTCCCAGGAGCCAAACCCAGCATGCAGCCCCCGCCTTCCAGCTCAGGGGGCCCTTACTGTTGCCAGAGCAGTGCCGGGCAACCTGCAGCACATCGGGCTTGTCCACAGGTGGCCCACGAGACACTGTGTTTCCCATCGCCCACGTGCAGGGCTGCCAGATTTGACACACACGGAGAGCCAGGGCACGTGCGGGGAGGCTGAGTGCACACGACACTGAGCGCCCTGCGCTCCCTCTGCAGCCGACCGTGGCGCTGTGCCGAGTCAGTCGGCACCCCCACCTTCTAGGGCGCCAGCCCAGTTGCAACATGGCCCTGTCCCGGGAGGCCCTCTGGGTCACCACAGCCTTGCTCCGAGATGAAGAAGGCCACGCCTGCAGCCGCTCGCTAGCCAGGGCTGCCCATTGCTGCTCAAGGCCTAGGGACACTGGAAGTGCCTAGATAGACAGGAGGCTGAGGGTCACTCACGTTGGGCTGGAGACTCAATGGAGCTGGAGACAAGGCTCCAAGGAGTCAGCCGGCGCCTTGCCCCTCAGCAGACGGAGCAGGAGTCATCTGGGCGTGCAGGAGGCTGGCTGACACTCTGGCTGACACACTCCTGCAAAGTGTGGGTCCCATGGACCCGCTCAGTGCTCACTGCCTGACCCAGGGCATGAAGCAGAGTTCTGGCCCTAGGGACACTTGATTGCATTGCCTTCATGCTGGCGGGAAAGGGGGCCGGCGGTTCCTCCTCCCGTTGGAGACTGGCCAGGTCCGCGAATGGGGCAGTGAGTAGGAGAGAGCTGGGAGACAGTTTCTCTCTGCTGCCCAGAATTTGGGCTGAACCCTCGAGTATTGTGGGTTTTTAACAGGTCTTTTTGCTATGATCCTGGCATCTCTGGAGGGAGCAGCGCAGCAGGGAAGGGAAGGGAAGAGCTAAGGGGATGGAGGCCTTTGCTTGGAGACCCTCTGGTGGCTCTGCCATGTGATTTCTGACCTTTCAAATGTTTGTGTTCTTGCCACATGGTTACAGCTGTGGGACATGCCAGGCCGTGCCTCTAACTGAGGTTACATAGACTTAGCTGCATCTGTTAAACCCAAGGGCAAAATAAATAGAGTCCTGCAAATCCCTGGATATCTACTTTATATCCATGAGTATCTGCAGCTCACGAATACAACTGTTGTATCTAGAACCCTGCAAATGTGCAGATATCCGCTTTTGAGCTGCAGCGGTGGCTATCCACAGATCATTTTTGCAGTTTGCGGATACCAATTTGGTTTCTGTGCAGGGCTGTAAAAAGAAAAACACGGGGACAGAATAGAGCCGTGAGGATCTCCTGAAGAAGAGCAGCTGTAAATCCCAGTGCCCCGCAGTCTTCACTGACTCGCTGCGGGGCTGCCAGGATGAAGCCAGCAGGCCGGAGGGAGCAGGGAGCGAGCTGTCATTCAGGACAGTGCTCTCAGGAGAGTGGGGCCCGGGAAGCGTGCCTGCGCTGTGCACCGGGATGCAAAGGGAGCCAGCTGCTGCCTAAGTGCACCGGGCTGGTGGCAGATAAGGAACAATCCGTGTGTGTATAAGGTGATAGGACTGTAATCTTAAATAAACGGCCTTCGTTTTGGACAGCATGTTAAGTGCAAGATGTGATAAAGAACCACAGAAATTAAACAAATGCCACTTTAATGCTGCTAAACCAGTCAGTACAGCGCCTCCTGCTGGGAGATCCCCCACAGCACCTCCTGCAAGTACAGGCTGAGCTGTGGGCTTCCCAGGCTGCCTGTCCTTCCAGCGGGGAGAAGCAGAGACTGGAGTTTGCGGCTAAAATACTGAGAGTGTTTGGAATTAGGCAGGAGCTCCCATTCTGCATGAAACCTCGTCATTTCACACAGTGATTCTGCATTGGAACAAACCCTCCCAGCTTCCGACTGTCCCGTGGGACTGAGGGGGGAGGGGGCAGAACTTCCATTTTGAAACATCGAAACGGTGTTCCTTATTGACGTGCCAAAGCTGCATGGCCCAGCCTGCCCACCTGGTGGCCTTTGGAGTCACTGGAAGCCCTGCCAGCCGTGGCTGGAGCCTTCGTCTGGGCCCAGCTTCCAAAGGCTGGGGTTTGCCAAGCTGGAGCTGGGTAGCTTGCAACAGCCTCTCCAGGATTCCCCAGGAAACCCTCTTCACACTGACTGTCCCGAAAGGCCCCTCTTGCCAGGCGCGTTTCCATTATAACTGTTGGAACTGCCAGGCCTCCGACTGGCGCAGCGGCGCCCTGCCGAGGCCACGCACACGCCTGTCCCACTGTAACGTCCTTATGTCGCAGGAACTTGCCGCCTCTCATGTCTCCCCCGAGTGCCATTTTGCTGCCCCACTGAGCAGATATTAGGCTCCCAGTCCTCCCCTCCCTCTCCCCTCAGGCTGCCTCTCCTGCACCTCTGGCGCTGGGTTTCCAAGACAGTCTGTCTCTCTCCCGCTAGATCCTCTGTTGACCTATCTGTCCCCGATCTGGATGGGGCATGGGTGCTGCCTCCACCAGCCTCTTCCCGGCTTCTGTCCAAGGAGCTGGCTCCAAGATTTCCTGTGCCCGCTGGCTCCTCTGGCAGTGGCTGGATGTTCCCTGCAAACCTGGAGCACCCTTCCTCTTCTGATCGACAGAATAGAGCAAGTCAGCTTTGTCCTCCCCTGGGGTGCAGCTGCCTTTCTCCGCCGAGCTCCTGCAGCCGACTTCTCCAGCTGCTCTGAACTCATCACACCCTGTCTCCCTTCACTGTTCCTTCCCCAAACCACTCAGAGCTTCCGCTGCGCTTTTTCCTTCTGCCACACATGCTTCGAGAGCCATTGGCACTAATGCAGGCCACACGGTCACAGCCCCACGTGCACAGTCACAGACCCCTTGTGTCACTAGCTACGGCAGTGCACAGTCACAGCCCCACGTGCACAGTCACAGACCCTATGTGCACTTCTCCCACTACCTGTGGCAGTTTCAGGGCAGCTGTGTCTGTATCCATTCCACAGTCCAGCAGTGGCTCCAGCTCCCAGCCACGCCCCCGCTGAGTCCAGAGCAAGTTTCACTCCCTCCTGACTAAGAGCCAGGCCTGATAGCTGTTCCCATTGTGACAGGGGCTTTGTCACGCTGGATGACTAGGCGGGAGCTGCCGTAAGGGCCTTTTCTAGCATCCTGTGTGATCAGGACTGGGCTCTGCTTGGCATTGTTGCCGGTCAACGTGAGTTACTCCACATAAGGTGCCTGGCTCCGGCTCTGCGGCGAATCCAGCGGCCTGTTAACACCTGGCCGTACTTCAAGGGGGCGAGATGAGTTTACCCCCAGCAAAAGCTGCAGCTGCAGCCCACCCTGACCAATGGGGATGGATCAGCCCATACGCCTGCTTGGCCGGGGAGTTGTCCGGTGCTTTCCTCTGCCCTGGGGCGTCGTGCCCGCCTCACCCTCGTGTGGAAATGCCGCCAGTTTCTCTCCGTGCTCTCGCGCGTGTGCAGGTGGCAACTCCTCGTGCTGCGGATGAACCAGCCGTCCTGCCTTGTGCTTCAGAGCGGTCTGCCTGGAGATCCGCTGCCTGGCAGGGAGGGAAGCTGCGGCAGGCCTCCAAGGTGGCTGGCTAAGCCAGGGAAAGACAGGGCCCTGCCGGGTACTTGTCTGCCCACCGAAAGGTGCTCAGGACGGGGGGGGGGGTGGGGGGGGGGGGGGGGGATAGTGTGTTGGCTTGGTGGGAGCAGCAGGCACATTAAGGACCCAGCCTGGGGTGCGCCAGTGACGGGCCCCTATGAGGAGAGCAGCTCTGCTGGCTTGGCTGGGGGGGGCTGGGATGTGGCCTGGGGAAGGGCAGGGAAACAGTCCCCATCTGTCCCCAGCCCAGCAGTTAGTCCCTCCCCCCGACTCCCTGCCCTCCCATTGTGCTGGAGCTGCCCAGGCCACCTCGAACAGAGGAGAGGAAGCTGTGATTCCGCTCAGCCCGGAGCGAGGGTCTGGTGTGTCCACCCACACCACTGGGGCCGCCGGGCACCCCCCAGCGCAGCAG